CCTGATCTGACTAAAATGGCTTTATGCCATTAAAAAATTACGTGTCAAAACCAGAACAGACTTGTTAGTTCATTCTTATTATCTGTTTTACATGAAGTATAATTGAGAACTTGCTAATTAGCTATAAATTATGCATACATAATAGTAACATTGCCCTCAAGGGAGCAAAAATTGTTCTTGAGAATGCAAGTTAAGAGATAGATAGATAGATAGATAGATAGAGATAGACAGATAGAGATAGCTCATATTTTATATATACCTCAGATTATGTATAATAAATAGCATAGATAAATAATATAAGCACATTTTGTATATAGAAGCAAATATATAATATATCTATGGTATTAAAATGGCATAAAGGAGAGGATAGGGATAAGAAGGGAAAATATTTTAAAAGGTTCCTTAGGGGGCAGTAATGAAAATGCTACTCCAAATAAATGTTCAATGGGATTTGCTAGGTTTAATCTTTGACTATTTAACATAATTCTGCTTATAACTGTCTGAGTATTTGACAGTCAACAGGACAATAATTGCTTGTTTTGTCTTTGGTACCATGTTGACTTTAGGAAAGTATTTCTGCACAGAAAATGCAGCTATTGCCATGACTCAGAGGAAGAATACTTTTAGCATAATTCTCACATTTCATCTACAGACTTCAAACCATTTCAAATGAATGTCTCATCAATCCTCAAAGCAATCTACTTTCTCGAGAAAATAGAAGAGAGTGCTATTGTGTTCCCCTAATCTCTCTCTGTGGGGATAACAATTAGTTGTTCTAAATTCAAGCCCATGGACTTTAATCTCAGCGCTGTTTCTGTGATGGTCGTGGTTCTAACATGGGTATTAGGTTTCTCAGAACATTCCAGTGACCTGATGCTCAAGGGATCTAGTGAACAACGCTCGTTTAAGGTTCACACAGAATCATACTGGTTTTGGTGCCACTTTTATCTCTGCTACCTTTCTCTTCTCAAGCTAAACTGTCTGTTAAAAAAATATTCTTCTTAGGCTTCTCTAAAACACAAAGGTAATACTGCAATCACAACAGAGCAACTTGATCTGATCCAGCAGATGTAGGCAAAGTAATAAAATTCAAATGTGAATGGCTGCACACATCCATGTTTGCTGCAGCATCTGGCTCTCTAATGAACTTAAACGAACTCTGCCTGTATTCCAAAGGGCCAGATTTTTCATTTTAAGGTAGAGCACTCTTATGCTACTATTTCTGTGAGAACCAAGTTTCCCCATCTGTCAGTGTGTTTTCTGAAGGCACTGAGTCTTTAAAATCCATGCTGTACTCCTTTAGACTCAATTGTATCTTATCTAACAGGAAAATGTGGATCAGAAAGTTCAAGGCATTAGCTGAAGGATTAAAGTACTCCAAGGCAACTGATGCAGTTTTGATAGGATGGGTGGAGTTGTGTAGCTACTCTTTCTGATATCCAGGAAAATTGAATTGAATGCTTCAACTTTACTTAATGCTTAAGTTTGAAAAGGAAGATGACTTCATTTTTTCCATGATTTTCATGCCTGTATATGCTCCTGATTGTCATCCTACTTTTATACCTACTTCTGCTCACTTTATTGGATCTACTTTTCCATCCATCCCTTACATAATACTAACATTCTGATTTCTTCTTCTCCCTCTACAAAATCTTTACAGGTGATCTCCTCCACCATTTCTTTTCTACACGTGATTGCTACTGAGCAAATCTCTGCTCTTGACCATCAGCCCATTAGTTACCTTTCCCTTGAAATCTCATGTGCATGTTCCAGGGTTTCTTCAAAATCAATGTCTTACACTAAATTTATCACTTCTGCTGGAAAGCCTTCACTCCTATCTTTCCAAGATTTGCATTTTGGTAAAAATCTCGGCATAACTCATTGCTCCTTTTTCACTCTCCATCTACACCCAATCTCACGATAGATGTCACTTTTGTCATCTCTGTCCTTTCAAATATATCCACTGCTGTTATTGCAATTCAAGCTGCTACTATCTCCACTCTGGATTGCTTCGAAAGCCCCATTGTTGTACTTTAAACTTATACACAAAAATTGTACCTATTTGGGTGGTATCAGGTGATGATTCAATACACATATATACTATGTAATGTTCAAGTCAGGGTAAGGTAAGTATCTATACCCTCAAGCATTTATCATTATCAGTTCCTTATGGTGAAAACATTCAAAATCCTCTCTTCTAGCTTTTTCGAGAAATATGCAATATGATTTCACGGAAACATACAGTCACATGTCAGCACTTATTGCTCTGATCTAATTGTAATTTAGCACTTGTTGATCTACTTTTCCCCATCTGCTCAGCCTCAGTATTCTTCTCAGACTATAGGTACCACCATTTTACTCTTAATTTCTATGAGATCAACTTTTTAGTTTGTATATGTAAGCGAGAGCATGTGAATTTTGTCCTTCTGCGCCTGGCTTATTTCACTTAAATGATTTCCAGTTCCATCTACATTGTTGCAGTTAGGTTGTCTGTATTTCTTGGCTATTGGGAAGAGTGCTGCAAATCATGTGGAGAGTAGATGTTCTTCAGCTCACTGATTTCATCCTTTGATATATAAATAGCAATGGGATAGCAATGGATCATATAGTAGTTCTATTTTTAACTTTTTATTAATTTTATTAGATATATATAATGATCACTCTCATCACTGGGAATTTGTACTTGTCCAGAATATATGTTGATTTTTATTGTTTCTCACCCCTTCTCCTCCCTTCAATCCATCTCCCACTCCTTATTTTAAAAACCTTTTTACATCTATTATTTTTTTTTCTCATTGAGTTTATTGGTACATTTTAGGTATACAGTACAATTACATTCATTACTGGGATCTTGTACCTTTACATGACAGGTCTTGGTTCTCATTTTTTCCCCTTGTCCCTGCCCTCCCTTCACCCCCTCCTCCACTCTCCCTTTACAAAAACTTCATTTCCATTTTTTCATTTTCTCATATTTTTTTCTTTCCCCTTGTTCCCTTTCCCCTACCCTTCCCACTTTCCCTACACCTTTAGCCCTTTTCTTCCTATTTCACATTGTCAATTATCCCACTAGGATCTTATGTACTATTATAGTTTGTTTACACCAGGGAAACTATTCGGTATTTACACATGTGTGACTTATTTATTTCACTTAGGAGTATATCCACAATATGTATCCATTTTCCTATGAAGGAATCTAATTTTTCATTCTTTATGGCTGAGTAATATTCCATTTTATAGAAGAACCACATCTTCTTTATCCAGTAGGCATCTTCTAATCTGTTCCATTGGTCCTCAGGTCTCCTTTTTGGTTGTTGTTGGGTTTTTTTCTTTTTTTTTTTTTCCTGTCAGTACCACATCTTTTCTTTTTTAAATCATGGTAGCTCTGTAGTATAATTTCAAATTGGCTATTGTGATGCACCCTGCCTTGTCTTTGTTGCCGAGAATTGCTTTTGCTATTTTGGAATCCCTACAAAAAAAGAAAAGCCCAGGTCCTGATGGATTCACTGCTGAATTCGGTAAGAAATTTAGAGAAGATCTAAAGCCAATACTCCTCAAACTCTTTAATGAAATTGAAAGGGAAGGAGAACTTATTCCTGGAAGCAAGCAATACTTTGATACCTAAACCAGAGAAAGACTCACCCAAAAAAGAGAACTACAGGCCAATCTCCCTAGTGAGCATCAGTGCAAAACTCCTCAATAAGATATTGGCAAATAGAATACAGCAAATCATCGAGAACCTTATACACCATGACAAAGTTGAATTCATTCTAAGGATGCAGGGATGTTTCAACTTATGCAGATCAGTAAATGTAAAACACTATATTAACAGAGCCAAGGATAAAACCCATACAGTCCTCTCAAAAGAAGCAGAAAAAGCATTTGATAAGGTCCAACACACATTCATGATTAAAAAAAAAAAACCTACAGCAAATTGGCATAGATGATCTTCACTTCAACTGATAAAAGCCATCTAAGACAAAACAAAAGTCAACATCATACTAAATGGACAAAAACTGAAAGCTTTCACTATAAAATCAAGAACAAGACAAGGATGTCTATTATCACCACTCTTGTTCAATATAGTTTTGGAAACATTAACCAGAGAAATTAGACAAGACAAAGGAATAAAAGGAATAGGTTAGGAAAAGAAGTTAAATTATCATTGGTTGCAAATGATGCTATACTCTTCACAGAGGAACCTCAAAACTCCAGCAAAAGGCTTCTAATTTTGATAACCAAATTCAGTGGCATAGCTGGATACAAGTCAACATTCAAAAATCAGTATCATTCCCATAAACAAATAACAGACTCACGAAGAGACATTAGGGAAGCCATCCTTTCACAATAGCACCCAAAAAATAAAGTATTTAGGAATCAATCTAACAAAGGAAGTAAAGGACCTTTATGTTGAAAACTACAGTACTTTGAAAAAGGAGATAGAAAAGGATATCAGAAAATGGAAAGCTATCCATTGTTCTTGGCTATGAAGAACGAATATAGAGAAAATGACCACACTACCAAAATTGTTATATAGATTTAATGCAATCTCAATCAAAATATCAACAGCATACCTCACAGAATTAGAGAAAACAATTCTAAAATTCACTTGGAGCTATTTTTAGTTTTTGAGAATCCTCCGTACTATTTTCCTTAATGTACTGCTTTCAATTCCCACAATTATGTGCAAGTGTTTGTTTTTCTCCACATCCTTGTCAGTTTTTATTAACTTATTATCATGTGTGTATGAGTGTGCCCACACGTGTGGACTAGGGTTTGAATCTGGAGCCTCACACATGATAAACACATGACCCAACTCCAACCATTCTCACTATAATAAGATGATATCTGATTGTAGTTTTATTTTCACTTCCTTGATGATTAGTGATTTTGAGCACATTTTGATATCCTTGTCAGCCACTTATGTTTTCTTTTCAGAAATGTTTGTTTACATCTATTATCTATTTTTAATCAAATTCTTTTTCTATGCATTTGTGTTTTTCATATATGTTTATATTAACCTGTTGTCAGTTTTATAGTTTGTAAATGTTTCCTCCTATTCTGTAGGTTGTTTCTTTGCTCTGTTGAATTTTTTTTCTTTTGGCTATGCAGAAGCTATTTAGTTTGATGTGATTTCATTTGTCTGCTTCTGAAAATAAATCAAATAAATGATATCATTTCAAAAAATTGTATGTTCTAATGTCTTGAAGTGCTTTTCTTATAATTATCTTCTAGTTTCTTATTTCAGGTCTTACATTTATGTCTTCAATTTATTTTATATAATATGGGTAACTGGTTGGGAGACAGAAATAGAAATTCATTCTTCTATACATGGATATCCAATGTTCACAGCACCATTTATTGAAAGGCTTTCACTTATTCAATACATATCCTTGGTACCTTTCTTGAAGGTCAGTTAGGTGTAGACACATGAGTACTTGTAGGCTTCTTTTCTGTTTTTTTGGTCTATTTGTCTCTGTTCCCCTGCAATGTCAAATGTGTCCAGGAATACCAACTTATCAGTGAGATCCACAAAATATTTCTAATTTTTAATTCATGCATATTAGTTATCAGTTATGCAGAATTGGTGGGTTTATATTATAGTCACACATGCATATAACATGCTTTCATCATTTCTCCCCTATTATCTACTCTTCTTCTTTCCCCCTTCCCACCCTTCTTTTCTAATAGTGTCTAATAATTTCCTTTCTAATTTTATGTCATCTCTAGTTTTAAAGTTTTAAAATATTTTTTGGTATTTCTCATTGAGAGAAAACATGTAATATTTATTTTCTGAGTATGACTTAACATTTCACTTACCATAATGCTCTCCAGCTCCATCTATTCTACCAATCTATAATTCTTCTTCATGACTGAAGCACACACACACACACACACACACACACACACACACACACACACACACACACACACACACACACACACACACACACACACAGGAATGACATTTTCTTTATCCATTCACCTTTTAGTGTGCACCTAGGCTGTTTTCACAGCTTAGCTATTATGACTTGTGCTGTAGTAATTATAGTGAATTATCCTAATTTAAGCTGTAATTTGCCCCTTCCCAGGTGCACACTCCTAATCCTCCTTTCTTTGCTCCTTTTTTGTAGTTCTAATTATTCCTTATGATCCAGCTTTATAATTTATTTATGATTATCATTTACTTTCTGTTTCTCTTTATGAGGATGTAAGTGCATAAGAACACATACTATTTGGTTTTGTTCTTCTGAATATTCCAAGTTTCTCTAATCAGAACTGGAACATGGTGCTTGGCTATGGAACTGAAGGAAAGAGCACTGATTGTACTATATTGTAATTTTCTTCCTTGTCTACCTGCCTGCCACCAGATTGTGAACCTCTTAAAGGTGGGGATGTTTGCTATTTTGTCTATTTATAACATCTTTATACATTTCCTGAGAATAATGGGTTTACAGTAATTGTTTGCTTAAATTATATGTATTCAACTCTTTGCTTACCACCTCATAGTTTTGCAGATCCAAGCTAGAATACAAAGGCAGAAAAACGTTGCTTTCTTCCTGGAAAAGTTTCATTGTAAACTATTGCAATATCTGAGATCTCCAAAGATGAAGAATTTGCTCTGGCAGGGTGGTCTCAAAGGCTAAAAGTACACTATTGTACATTTAACTTTTTTCCCTCGTCTGTCCTTATATTCAGGACAAATATTTTAGTAAATTGGAAAACTAAAAGGAAGCTTAAAAACTGTACAGCTTGAAAGTTAATACCTTTCCATCTGTGATTTCTCTTTTTGTTTTCCTTCTCAGAGCTCTTCCCGCCATGATGCAATGGGTCCGCACACAGAAGCCAGGAGAAAGCGGCATCAATATTGTCACTGCTGATTTTGTAGAACTTGGAGATTTTATCAGCACAGTCATAAAGCTCAACTATGTCTTTGATGAAGGAGAAGCCAATACTTGATAATATTATTTGGAGTATCTGAGAATAAGATAGAGAAGACTTGTTGTATTAGACATATTATCTATAAACACTCTGATCTTCCTATTCCACTGAGTCTCTGATGGGATTAGGGCTGGTAGTGGGTGGGCAAAGGGGGAAAAATCATTTCTTCAATGATTATGATCATAGTCTGCATTACTATAAATATTTCATTTTCCAGTCAATGAGCAAATTCTAGTGTTAGGGATGCAAATAATAGTGAATTTTGTTTTTCAAAATTAGTCTTTGTAACATGTGATTCATGAGTGTTTACTTGATTGCGTTTTCTAATTACAACCTAGAGCTCCCATACTATTTGCTGTAACTTTCTCACTCCTTCTTGTGCTTTTTAATCAGATGCTGTATGGAACTCAAAGTAATTGAATGCCCAACATAATGTGTATTACATTGTTGTACTGAAAATTATTTGTTTTGTGGGATGTGGTATAATATTCTGTAGTCATCTGCAGTTGGGCAATCATAGCTAACTGTTGGTCATAGAAAATATGCATCAAATCAGTCTCCCTACATCAGTACTATTGGAGGCATAATCAGTGATTTTTGTGTTATATAAAAACAATAGTATTTCACAGTATTTCTATTTAAGGCAGCTATAAGTATAGTGTAAAAAAAAAAATTTGGAAGGACTTTGAGTGCTAACTCCATAGTGAAAAATGAGCAGTGGGGTGAGGGAGATGGATGCTGCTTTAATTCAGCAACCTCTTAAATAGCAAATGCCCTGCAAGTGCCGAGTATGTGATACACTTGAAAAACTGCTAAAACCAGAACCTTTGAAAAGAAGTTTTTCTTTAAGTCCTCTTTAACAATTTTATTTTTTTTTACTAAAAAAGAAAAGAAAAAAAATAAATGAAAGACCTTGCAAGCTAGCTCTCCTGCTAAATTGGAATTTCCAAATATACCGTTCTGAGCCTTGAATTTTGAAGAATATTTTTCAAGAAACTTCGAGTTTCTAACTTGAAGAAAGAAGAAGGATGGCAAGAGGAATTAGACCAGTGTTTCTGAAATTATGCCCACAGAATCACAAGGGCCCATAAAATATCTCCAGGGAATTCCTGAACTATCTGGGATTGGGGCAGGTTTGTTTAAAATTGGCATCCACTCGTCCTTTTTAGGTTTCACCCTATTCCAGAGAAGAGATTAAAGCAGAAGACAAAAGTCTCATAAAGTTTCTGTGACCTAACTTTTGATAATCCAGGTCCACAGGAAAAGAACAAAGATAACAGTCTTGAGTGTTGCATTCTCATTAGTGTCTATATTGGACAACTCTAAAACAATCCTGGAAGGAGCACAATGCCCCTTACCTCTGTGCCTCACAGGAATATTGTGAAGCATTTATAAAAATCTATAAAATTTTCTGAAATTCTTATGAGTTATTTTATCTCTATAGTTAAGAATAATCACCTTTTAATAGTTTACTGGAAAATGCAGATCTGTGAAAAATGGGACAATAGAGAATTAAAAGTATATCCATATTTTCAACAATACAAATATTTGTTTTCTGAAAATAGTGCTTACTGGCAATTGCAGAGAAGGAATACAGATTGTTCATAATGAAGATAAGTTTCATGAAAAGTGTAATATATATGTAGACCAGGTACCATGAAAATACACACAACAGATATGTTTATACATTGCAAGTGTGTTATATATATTTCTCATACAAAATAAAAATATATAGCTACTCCTATATAAGTAGTCAGACATGAATATACATAAACAGATATAGACAGATACAGTACAATTCTTTTCAACTGAAAATAATATTAAATAATTTAATTGTCATATTGAGCCCATTCAAAATGTACAAAAAGGTGATGAGCTATTGAAAATAGGAATTGCTGATTACACCAAAATATTTTTGTAAAAATATTGCAGTTTTGATCTTAAATACTCACAAAATATAATTATTTTTTTCTTTCCAATTATCCTTGCCTTGTATTTATATTGTCTATCTCTTTTACCTACTCTTTACATGCAACTGAAAATGAATCCTTCTAAAAGGATTATGAATTTATTGAAACTTATGCTCTATAAATTTACTTTTGGGTGCAGATTTTCTCTCTATTTAGTATTCACCCCTCAGGAGGATCTTTAGCCAAGCACACTTGCAATGACACAATAATTTAACTTATAAATATGACAAAAACAGATTTTTCAACCTATTCATGAAAAATATAATATAGAGGTAACTGTTTGATTTGTCCTTGAAATTAGATGTTTTCCTATAATGTTTGCTTAGAACTGTGTTATATTTGTCTTTTGGGTGCTGTAAAGAACAAACATGATGAAGCATTACACTTCGCAGTTTCTTAACTTGGGAAAGCTTTTATTGCTATGAATTCTATGCACAGAAACTCTGTTAGACAAAAGCTACTCCATGGTTTCCATGTGGGTGTACAGGAACTACACATCAGACGCTGAGAGTAAATAGATTTGCCTTAATCTCTAAAGGAGGGCAGAGATAGACAAGAACCATGAGAACATTCACTGAAAAAGATCGTTTAAAAAGAGGAATGGCAGCAGATCCCCCTTGGCCGTCTTCTGTTCCTTGGCCCTGAGCGGGGCGGCACTTAGGGAGCAGACTGTAAGCCTTACATCAAGAAATGGAGTTGAGAAATAGTGATATGCAATCAAACCTTGCCCTTAACCTATGATTCTTTGTCTTGGCTGGGCATTGTTTTTCCAGATTTAGCAGCACAAGGGCTACAAATAAGTCCCAAGATGACAGGAGACACATCTTGGTGGACTTTTGTTTTGCTTGTTTCTTAAGACTTTATTTCCTAAGTCTTACAAGGCCAAAAAATAAAATATAGACAGCCTGTACCCAACCTGCAGCAGGAAATCAAAGAAGTGGGCAAAATGATGGAAAAGAAGTAAAGGACATCTTGTATTTAAGTTTGTTTTGCTGTCAGTAATTTTGAAGGACCGATATAGTAAAATCTTCTCCTGCCATAATAGTTTATGTCTCTCTTATTACTACATAATCACACGAACGTAGAGAATGAGGAGGCATCCTTTAAAAGCCTTAGGATATTCTATATGATGACCTCAATATTCACTTTCAGCCATACTGGGAAAACTCACTTTTTATGGAGCGCCACCTAAAAGTGAATGTATTAGAGCATAAAGTGTTCGGCATGATGCACCACACACACACACACACACACACACACACACACACACACACACACAAGCGTGCGCACTATTCAAGTTTAAACTGCACCTAATCTTCCAACTTAATTCTGATTTTTTTGTAACTTCAGCTCTTAAAACCAGCATATCCTATGTTAGTAGGCATAAAAATAAGTCGAGTATTCAAATATTTGAGGGGAAAAGGTTGCTAGAAAACCAATGAAAAGTGAGACCATCAGAAATAGGAAATGGCTGGTAATAATCTAATTACATTATCAATTACATTTCTCTAGAGAATCTAAGGCAGACTTGAACATAAATTAAACACATATGTAAGTTCGTTTAAAAAAATTTAAGTCCTTTGAGGCTCTGCCATGTTTTGGGGCAAAGTTATGTGTTCAGGTTCTCCCCTGTTAAGATTTCAGATGGAAAGTTGAAAGTCTCAGGAAATGCATGTTTTCATGAGTTTTTGGTTCTACAGTTTTACAAATATTCAATGATATGGTCTTTTAAGCGTTAGTTGCTCAACCAAGCAGGAACTCCCTAGTCAGAGTGTTCATATTTTTAATTGCTAAAAGAAAATAATGCAAAGTGTCCCTCAGGATATGCTAAATAAAATTTTCAAAGCATTTTATTTTACAGCACTTTAGTCTTTTCAACTAGATTTCAGTGACAATGTGGTGTAAATGCTGTATTTTGCCATAACTTCCTGGTGGCTCCTGTGTTACATACAGTTTTAAATAATGCTCCAAATTGTTTTCCCAATGACAATGATAAAATGTTATGTAGAATTTGTAAAAGGTGTTGGTTTAATCTGTCAAAAATTGTGTAATTTTTATTTTACTTGTGATACTCTTCTGATGTTATTAGTTCTAAACGTGTATTTGTATGAGTCAAAACTATGTGCTTGTCAGTGGTATGTGTAAATATATTATACTTATCAAAAATTAAACTTATCCTAAAGAAAAAGGGCACATTATGACTGGCTTTAATTCATTTTCATTTTTACTTATTGTTGCTACAATTGGATTTAAGATACATACAGAAATTGCGTTATTGTTAAAGATAGCTTTTAAAAAAACTTACAAGGTATATGCTTTAAGTCCTATAAGTGAATTGTACAGCTTGTGGCACACCTATGCTTTTCAAAATAATCAAACATCAATTAAGTTCTTAACTTCATCACCATGCAAATAGACTAAATCCACATTTGCTTCCTTCAGCAACAGAAACAGAGCACGTCTAAGCTGTTCTTTCCAAGAAGGACCTATGTAATGATAAGCTTCACTGATAAGCTCACTACTGAGAACTGAATCTTCTGAAGATGAATCCCTGGTCCAGTGAGTATCAGAGAAGCTCCATAAGCAGGTGGTAGTTCCAACACTACTCCCTTTCAAAACCGAGTATGAGGAACTCACATTGTTTCCACCTGCCCCATGTGCAGTGTAACAATAGAAAATTCATGACTAATTCCAGAATTTACACATGCGGTAATGCCTGAAGTAAAAATTCTGCAATCTTCTTTGGGTTTCTTACTTTTTGGCTCTTCAAATATTTTTTTTTCAAGTGTAGTGTTACCAAATAAAATGTAGGACACCAGTGAAATTCAAATTTCAGATAAATTACAGTTTTAGAGAATTCTCTTTATATGTCATCAAAACACACAAAGAATGCATTGTTTATTTGAAATCGAAATGTAAATCAATATATCCTATATTTTTTCCTAAATCTGGCAACCCTACTTCTATGTCCTTTCTTTTTTAGCTGGGCTACCTATAAGAGTAAGATCTACCTCCTCTTCTATATTTTTATGTTAACATACTTCATGAAAATCTCAGTCATAATACCCCTTATGAAGGAAAATATTGGTCCATGCTAGTTCTTACAAATTCTTTATGAAGAACCAGCTGAAAAAGATGGAAAAATTAAGCAAGCATCTTCATTAGATTAATACCACCACTTTAAAAAGTTCCCTTTAGTGGCCTGTTTTGAGGCCCATAGTCTTCTCATTAATTCTTTAACATTCTCTAGTAATTGGAACAAACGTAAACATACGTTAAAGATATTCTTGGAAAGTGATAGTACCTTCTAAACTGGTACCAGGACCTCTTTCGAAATTTATTTTGTTTTCTTTCAGAGAGTTAAAAAACTAATACATTCTTCCCTTCCACCGTTAACACTTTGCCACAAAATATTCTTGTTATGTTAGAATTAGTCATCTATGCCAATATATAAATGACATAAAAAGGAAAACTTCACTGTGAGGTGTCTGGGCACAGATATAGCCCTGTCAGTTCCTACTCAGAACAGCAGGGGGAGGTGCTATTGACTGAACATGGTCCCTGACATGAAACTAATAAGTGACAGACTTGCTAAAGCAAATGATAATTAGTAACTTCTATTTTTTTAATTTTTAGTATTGGAAGCTGCAGCATAAAAACAAAGCTCTAATGCTGAAATTTTTAACTGTTTGCAGAGAACACAACCATGTTGGAAATTCTGAAATAAAATTCACATACTACTGTTCCCAGCACTGAATCCTTAATATGGTCTGAATGGTTCATGGAGTTAGTTTTGAAGCCTTTTTGGTAGCTACTTCTAATCTTGAAATTCTTCTGAGTGGTATAGGAAAACAAAAATCCCTTGATAAACTGTTTTGCATTCATGATTCCTACACACATTTGTGTTGATTTGCTTCATTACTAGAGAATGAGAATTTACAGAGCTGGTGACATTTCCTTCATCAGAAATTCACCAGAAGGAGAAAGATTTGTGCCTTCTTTTTTTAGGATCTGGTCACTGATACTTTAATAAATATAAAGAAAATCCATGCCTAGAGCCTGTATAGCAAATGTGAATTTTGTATAAGACTGTGTTCTTAATGTAAAAACAGTTTCTTTGTACCCAGTGAAATGCCTAATAAAGTCCTAGTAGCCACTATCTTTATGTTTTTTTTTCCAATTTCTATTCATCTATGCTTCATTATAAGATCCCAAATGGATCTTTGAAATAGGACGTGATTCAGTACATCTAAAAAGAAAATCCTTTTTAAAACATGAATCACTGCATTAGAGTTTCCTCCATAACAAATATATGTTCCACCAGTAAAGTCAATGCCATTAGTTCTTTATGTATATCAAAGTTAGCTGTCTCTGGTGTCTGCTATACTTAGCTTCTGCTACTATCACAAATAAGGCTACTATCAGTGTAGCAGCGCTGTACTAACGTGCTATGTGAGTATTATAAAACACCATCCCAAGTTAAATGCTAGGCTAAAGAAAACTTCCTTTTTCTAAGTCATCACTGTACCTGTGTCCTAACATCAGATTTCTAGAGTTTCATTCAGCAAACATTTGGCTCCCTATTAAGCCCAAAGCATTTCTAAAGAGTGGCTTAGAGGAATGGATGAAGTACATCTATTTGGGTGAAGTCTTGATAGAGCTAATATTATCACTACTTCTCTCCTTGGAGAAGTAAATAAATATTTATTCTCAGTGGCCTTTTCAAAGTAATATCCCCAGACTCTGAGGTAAAGAATCTCCTCTACAGAGGATGCGCCCTGGACCAACAGAGTAACAGCATCACCTAGAATTGAAGGAAATCTTCCTTTTAGGTGAAAAGATATTCTATGTCATGACAGACTTCAACACCGACTCTCAGCATGGGATTCAATATATGTCTCTAGTATTTAAACATAAAAATGTTCACTCTGGAATCATGTAGAGGGAAGTGAACCTAACTGTCATGAAGCACCTGCTACCATGTTCAAACTTCAGTCCTGTGAATAGAAACTTCCTGGAAACATCTGGAGTTAGTAGGCCAAGGAGAACCACATTCAAACCACATTGAAATTGTAGAACGTGGGCCTTACTGTCATAAGGGATGAGGAGAATGGTCAAGAGTACTTCTGCACACCAGTGCTGGCATATTTTTGCACACCTTTCAAATTCTAACCCTCCACACATCCTTTTATACTCATACAAACATAAAGTTTGAACTTCTGAGTTTGCAGAGAAATAATTTTAAAGGTCTTTTGTTTCAATATAACTGCTCAGATATTATTAAACTCTGCTCTTTCATTTTGAACAACAAAAAATCTTTAACTTAAAATGTTGATGGTGAGAGGCACATCTCAGCTATTTTTGTATTCCCAGGGCACATCAGGTATTAAAACATGTTTGAAAACAATGAAATGAAATTGTGTCTGGTTGTGTCCTAATCAAACTGTGGACAAGTTCCTGGTAAAGACTGTGTAAGTGATAAGAATTGTTAGGTAGTGATGAGTGCTAAAAAATAATATGATTGTATCCTTCACTGCTTGTATTTCTTGGAGAAATTCTGAGAACATGAGAGAATTGAGAGGTGAGGATACACTGCATAGTGGTCTCTCCAAGGTTAGAAAGACTCTGTCTTTTAACTGTAGCTACTTACAAGTTTATGTGAAGGAACTCAGTTTATAATGAACCTACCCAAAGAGAGGTGAAAAAGCATGGAATGGAAAATTACATTTTTAATTTCAGCAAAGTATTTTGTCAAATTTTCATCTCCCTTATTTTCTTATGGATACATGTGGTGTAGAAAATATGATCACTACAATTCCACCAACTTCTCCTGCTTCCCCCAAATACCTCTGCTCTCACACCCCTTGGAAGACTAATTCTCTCCTTCTCCATACTTGTTACCCAGATTGTTTGCTGTGGTCTTCGTAGCCCTCCATGTCCTCCTCTGACTACTAGCTGCTAGTGTCCTTTCATTTCCATGCCCATTGGTCTTAGTTATTTTATTGTTGCTGAGACAGATTATCCAGCACCCAGAATTTAAAGAAGGACAGATTTATTTTGCTCACATTTTGTAGTGGTTTCAGGGCAGAGGAAAAACAGCTTATGGCATGGCAACAGGAAGCAGAAAGATCAAGGGAGGAAGGATAGAGCTATATCCTTCCAGGTGGCAATCTCTACCTTTTATGGTCTGTACCTGCTACATTGGACCCAGCAATCTGCCAGGGGACACTGCCTCTCTGTAGGTGGGCATCACTACCAAGGTAGAGCCCTCCAATGAGAAAGGATTGAACAGTTTGTGACCATGTGACATTGTAATATAGGGTCCTTGTTTCCTAACAATTACATGATTGGAGGGAGGCTCCTTTCATTTTTAGAAAGAGCATAAATGGGCTGGGGACAGAAACAAATAAAAGGTTACAGCCACCATGGTATTCTCAAAGTTACCACTCTCCTCTAAAGATGAAGCCTTTTCTCTTTATCAATTTATCTTCCTGGGTTTTCATACTTTCAAGACAATTTTCTACTAGGTTCTTTGATGCTTGTACAAATAGATGTCTGAGAGACTCTCCCTCCCACTTCTGCTATTTAAATTCATTCAAAGACCTATAGTGCAGGCTGTCTAAAAGAACCAGAGGTTACTGCAAAAAGCTGTCTCCATACAGATGGGGAAATGATAATAATGTTCACTTCGTGTTCAGGTCCCTAGCTTTTCCTTAATAGAATTCTTTTTTACCTGATCCAAATAAAACTTGTTTTCTGACATATGATTTAATGAGTTCATTCACAATCAAATATTAATGTGATTTGAAATAGTAGTTATTTAATTTTTGTTTACTTTTATAAGTATTTACAGGCAAATGAAATTCACAAAGCAATGTTACAAGATGACTTTCATAAGGGAAGCCCAACAGCTTTCTGGTTCCTTTACATGCCTCCAAGGAGTCCTATGGAAACTCCTGTGACTCTCTAGAGCAGTATTTTCAGACTTTACTGTGCATGCTATTGCCTGGTGATCTCAATTAAGTAAAACTCTGATTCAACAACTTAGGGATAGAGCCCCAGCTGCTGTCTTTAAAACAAGTTCCCAATGATTCAATGTTACTGTGGTGGATATTGTCCTTTGAGTAGCTGGATTATGGAGGTCAATTTTAAAACATATGCTTCAAAGTCTAAACTTCACCATGAGTTTACTTGGGATATGAATAAATGACCAGATCTTTAATTATGAAATAAACTTGAGTAGAGAAATTATTGTAGGGAAGAAGGTTATAAAATGGTAACTAAAAATTCTAGGTTTTCTAAGCCTACTCAACCTAAAACCACTAGCAGCTGCTTATAGTCTGATACTCACCAACAAAAAGCATAAATTGTTATGTGCAAGAGTATTGCGAGTTGAAATGTAAACAAAACAATATTTTCATAGACTCAAAGTAAACTAGGACTGTGTGACTGGGCTGAATAGGATCTGCACTGTAAAGCAGATTCTGAATTCTCCTTCCTTTGACCTATTAAGCAGAGGCAGGTGAATGCTGCATGCAGAAACTCCTCATTGGAAGCACCGATTCTGGGCTGTGAATCAAGGCTGCTTCTCTGTGTCAAAGTGACTTTAATTCTGTGCATGAGAGTGAGAGGTTTTCTTACTGACAGAATTTCAGACAGCCACATTCACTCAAGAAGGGGTTTGTTATGGCATCTTAGAGCTGTTACATGACCTTGTAAGAGTGTTTTCGTCTAACTTTGCAGAGTGGTCTTCACTTATGTCTGTTTATTCTTCCACCTCATGAATGACCGTTCCGATTTTACCTTCCCCTTCGAGCTGAATTTAATGTGCTTGGTTTCCAAGTGACAGAAATCCAACTCAAATTATTTTAAGCTGAAACAGAGTGGCGGGGGTGTGGTGGGGTGGAGTACTCTTCAGACTAGTTGAAACTAAAGGAGAAGCGACATGGGGCTAACTAAATCTGGAGCCACAAATAATATCATCAAGGCTTAATTCTTCTCTCTTGTTAAGGATTATTGTCCTCTGCACTGACTATATTTAAGTATAATCTTTCCATAGTGAAACAAGATAATTAAAGTTACTTTTTCCAAAAGTTTCAACCGACAAACATAATCGAGTCTCCTTGGTCTTTTTTGGGCTCAAAGCCAAGCTCCCAAAGCAGCACTGCACATGAGAATAAAACACTGTCAGCCTTCCATCCCTCTTGATTCCTGCATCTGTACATTCTGGCTTTTGTAGATTCCATATCCATGGACTCAACGAACCATGAATAAAAAATACTTGACAAAAGAAATGAATCAATGCTGAGCATGTTCAGACTTGTTCCTGTCATCATCCCCTAAATGAGGTAGTAGAGCAGCTATTTACATAGAATTTACCTTCTATTAGGTACTCTAGCCAATGTGGAGACGTTCTAAAGTATACAAGAGGATAGCGACGGGGAATCGTGGCTTAAAAATGAAAATCAAAGCCCTGCTACTGGAAGATGTGAAAATGTGCTGTGGCCAAGCAGGCACAAAGAGCAAATCCTCTGCAGATTTCCCGACATGTCTGAAATCACGCCACATAGGTGGGCACTGTATTTACTTATTCACTAGGTTTGCTACGACTGCTTTGGCTTCACTTCTGAATCTGCATCTCAAATAAGAGAAAAAGTAAAAGGCTAACATTAAGTGTCTCTTTAACTTTCATTTTGTATATTTTTTGTTTTAAATATTCAAAGGTACAGAAAAGTTGCAAAAATATTTGAAGCAACTTCCACGTATACTTTCTTTGGAATCAGTTTTAAATATATTTTAAATATTATGCTCTTATTACTTGGAAAATTATGTGTTTTTCAAAGTATTGTTCATAGTCTAGGGATAATTTTTTATAAAGTTAGAATTGAAAACTATTAAAAATTCTACATCTTGTACTCATTCATATAAAAGTAGGACTTCATTCAAAATTCACATTATACTAAAACACTGTCAAGAATACAATGATAAAGCCAATTATTCACATGAAAAGAAAAGAAAGAAAAATCCCTAAGATACATAATATATGAGAGAATGTTAGGTATGCTGCTTACTCTGAATAAAATACTGACTATAATCACTACTGTGAGGGAAAGGGCCAGGGATTTAGCTCAGTGGTGCCGCGATTCTAAGA